GCGGCCTGTAATCCTGGCTGGCTGACTTCATTCTTTGCATCAGTCGTTCAACTTCCTGCCTGGTGCTTTCAAAATTATTCCTTGTCTAAGAAGCAAGATCAGGAACAGTCAAGGAGATAAATCAAGGGGGTACCTCATGTCGTATTGGGAATGAACCGCTACGGTAGCTTGCGCTATGGGGCAACCATTAGCTCTACAGGTAGCCATAGGAAGGGCTGGAGCTGTAATGGCAGCCAACTTCATTAAATAACCCTTCACCTCTAGGCCAAGCAATGTTTGCCTGCACAATTCTTGATTTATAAAGCCCCTCCAGGAAATACTCAAGGTGGTTACTGAACATGAAACAACACAATCACACAGCAGCACATGTGTGATTTATGTGTGTGTGTTAAATGGCATCAAGTTGTTTCTCACTCATGGCTACCTCCAAGATCTATTATCAATTCACAGCCTCACTCAGATCTTGCAAACAGAAGAAGAAGAAGAGGAGGAGGAGGAGATTGGATTTATACCCCGCCCTTCACTACCAAAGGAGTCTCAGAGCGGCTTACAAACTCCTTTCCTTTCCCCTCCCCACAACAGACACCCTGTGAGGTAGGTGGGGCTGAGAGAGCTCTGCCAGAAACTGCTCTTTTTCAAGAACAGCTGTGCCAGAGCTATGGCTTGCCCAAGGTCATCCAGCCAGGTGTGAGTGGAGGAGTGGGGAATCAAACCCAGTTCGCCCAGATTAGAGTCCACGCACTTAACCACTACACCAAACTGGCCTTGGCTTTCTTCATTCAGTCAATCCATCTCATGTTAGGTCTTTCTCTTTCGCCAGCGTTATTGTCTTTTCCAGGGTGCCTTGTCTTCTATGAGTGACACATATCCATAAATACAGAACAGATAAACCTATAGTATGAGATGTTACCAAATTTCTAAAAGCTAGCCTAAAAGGTTTACGCAAGATGTCCAAATCATGAGAAGGCAGATTTCATGTCTTCGGGAAAGACTTAACTTTTGTCAAGACCCTTGGGAGCTACCAGTCACAAAAGGGTGTGCTGGTGTGTGGACTCCATCAGAAAACCACACCTCTACAAAAATTACAACATTTCTAGGTATGTCTGCAGTGCTTGAAAAAATTCCATAAACATACAGAGCAGAAGTCCATCAGGGGCTATTAGCCACAAAGTATAGCTAGGAACTCTCAGTCTGGGGCAAGTGATGCTCTGTATTCTCGGTGCTTGGGGAGGAGGCCAACAGTGGGAGGGCTTCTAGTGTCCTGGCCCCACTGGTGGACCTCCTGATGGCACCTCGTGTTTTTGGCCACTGTGTGACGACAGAGTGTTGGACTGGATGGGCCATTGGCCTGATCCAACATTGGCTTCTCTTATGTTCTTATGTTTCTTCTGCTGTTTTTTCAGCAGCAACCCACCACCATCACACAAGAAGAGAAAGGAGGGGAGAGAGTTGTGGCTACATATTCCTGGAATAGGGTTGCCAAGTGTTTGGAGGGGAAAAAAATATCCTCCTGTCCATTAAACAGATGATTAATGGCCTGCTATTAGTCGGGTGATGTCATGAAAAGCTTCAGCTGCCCATTTGCAGACATTAAGTCTCTATTAAAGAGACAGGACATTCTTCTTCAGGCCCGCTGACAACCCTATCCTAGAATACTCTCCAGGGGGTATGAAGAACCAAGAAATAAACCCTCATGTGGGTGAAGGAGTGAGACCGAATGACAACACAGACATACTGGGGAACTAGCCTTAATCCCCCCCCCCCCCCGGCATCTTGTGTCAAAGGAAAATAAAGGGATAATTTCCTCCCGCTTAACAGTTGGTGTCATGTTCAACGAAAGTCCCAAGCTCATTGGTATGACTAACTTGGGGGTCTATTCCACACCATATTAGTATTTTTAAAAATATGTGCATATGTGTGTGTGCATGTGAGTGTGCGTGCACCTGGAAGTAATGGCGACCTCTGGTGACTTGACCCCTACTGGAGGCCTGGAGGATATTCAGAGAGGTGGTTGAATACCTGCCCCCACCTTTAGCCTCCGGTGTTTCAAGGAGGTCTCCCATCCAAGTACTTGCCAGAGTCCACCCTGCTTAGCTTCCAGGATCTGATGAGTTTGGGTTTGCCTGGGCTATCCAGGTCAGGGCTTCCACACACTATTAGTCACGTATACTTTTTGTTTGGGCAAGAGTTAGAAAGGATCGATAAAGTTCACAAATATAATCACTCAGCAAGAAAGGGCTAATTCTTTCTCCTGCAGCGAAGTGATACAATCCAGGGAAAGCTCTCTTTTTCTGACTGCTGTTTGGTGTAGTGGTTAAATTAAGCCAGTTTGGTGTAGTGGTTAAGTGCGCGGACTCTAATCTGGGAGAACCGGGTTTGATTCCCCACTCCTCCACTTGTAGCTGCTAGATGACCTTGGGCAAGCCATAGTTCTGTCAGAGCTGTTCTCTCAAGGACAGTTCTAGAAAGAGCTCTCTCAGCCCCACCTACCTCACAGGGTGTCTGTTATGGGGAGGGGAAGGGAAAGGAGTGTGTAAACCGCTCTGATACTGCAAGTGAAGGGCAGGGTATAAATCCAGTCTCTTTTTCTTCTTCCATAAAATTTCAGACCCGGGCCCAACTACTCATTACTCACATATTACAAAGATGGTCACTTTCATCTTCTCTACATGTGCATTAAGAAGAGAGTGTGAAAAAAATATAAAATAGGAAGCAATGCTCTATGCCCTCAAATAGCCATTTTCCCCTTCTAAAAGCAAAGACAAACACAACATTCAATGGGCCTTTTTTCAGAGGCCAAGATGTTAACTAATTTATTCTTCTAACATCCCAGTGCACTGAGGATACTTAGCAATAAACTAAGCAAAAACACAGGCAGTGAAATGGCTTGACGAATCTCTTGAAGCCTCAAAGCACCATTACTGGCAATGATTAAAGTTTAAGCATCAACCTGTACATTAATGAAGAGGATAATGTACTTGAGAACTATTCAGTGGCAAGGCAAGCACAGCAGCAGCAGCCTTATCTCAAACCTGTCAAGTGGCTTTTTTGAGCCATTTATTAGGCTAGCATGGCACTAAAACAAACAGCAAAAACAGTTCATAGGATCGCAGAGTTGGAAGGGGCCATATAGGTTATCTAATCCAGCCCCCTGCCTGGCCCATAGCTACAGTGGGGCTATTGGGGGCACTGCACCCTTCCTCAAAGCCCCCCCCCACTTCTTCCCAAAAGCATTTGGGATCAGTAAATGCTGTTTGAGTTGGAGAAAGGAAGAGGTGTTCCTATTGAGCCTATGGATTTTAGCTACATAAACATGTGTTTAATTGGAGGCTCATGTAGACATTGCAGGATCAGCCTAGATCATCCCTGACAATTGTTTGCCCAGCTGCTGCTTAAAGACTGCCAGTGAGGGGAAGCTCACCACCTCTCTAGGCAGCTGATTCCACTGTTGCACAACTCTTACCATAAAAAAGGTTTCCCTAATATCCAGCCAGTACCTTCCTGCCCTTAATTTAAACCCATTATTGCGAGTCGTGTCCTCTGCTGCCAACAGGAACAGCTCCCTGCCCTCGTCTAAGTGGCTTCTGAAAAAATAATATTCATCCAGGGTGAGCAAGCATTGCTCAGAGGTTTTAAGGATGACAGGGTGCAAGTTTTGTGAATCTTCGAAGTGCAAAAATCAGATAGAAGAGAAAGATCCTGATCCTCAATCGGAGGGGAAAGTAGCGTAGAAATGTTTTAAATGAAGTAAAATAACACACAAAACCCAATGCAGATCAATCTAAGAACATCATCATCATCATCGCTCCTCCGAACTGGTGGTATCTACCAATACCATGGGAACATCCTGCAGAGAGATATCTAAACTGAAGAAAGAAAACCTGCCTGGGCCAGCCTTTTATTCCCAAGAAGTGGATGTGTTCAGGATCAGAATGGGCATCACATCTGGGAATTGAACAGCTATTGTAAAATTATACTAAAATGGAAGTTATGGAAGTTGCCCATGAAGTGAGCATTTGCAAATGACACATGCTGCGATTCCTACAGCTAGGGAATACTCCAGAATAATCATCTGGAGGCTGCTCATGTGCCCCCAGCATACCCATTTTATTCTGGATCACACTGCATCATGGATTTTGTAGAACTGAAGATAAGTAAATCCTTCTTCCTCATGCACCTATCTTTCAGTGTAACTCATGCTGAATCTTGACTATTTGGTTAGGTTACAAATATATGAGAAGGCACAAAAGGATTTAATGTTGCCTGGAAGAAGACATTGTGGGGAGACACTTGAGAGATGTTCCACGGGCAGAAACGGATCTTTCTCTCCGTTCCCGTGCACCAGTGGCCCCCATGACCTGTGAAAAGGCACTTCCACAAGTTGGGGAATGAGAATGGGTCTTGCGAACCAAATGCTGTGCATTTGAGTGAACTGTGGTGAGAAGGAGAATCAGATGAGGTTGCTCCTTATCCCTCTTTCATCAGCGGAATGACTGAGGGATGTGACCCAATCTCTTTGTTGTTGCAGCACTTGAAATGAATGACGTTTCTGTTCCAGATGGAAAGTGCAGCGGATTTGTCAAAACCACAACAGATCTAACTTACTCCTGCCCAAAGAATCTTCAGAGCAGGGTTAGAAGCTGCAAGAACATAATCCAAGCCGAACTCCACTTTAAAAAAAAGTTCAGCATGAAGTAGAGACAACTCAATAAGGTCAACATTGGCAATGGGATGTCAAATAATACAGCTCTAGCTGCTTGGTCTAACAAGCGTACGGTGGTGACCACAGGTATGAGCTGGAACCCGCCATCCCAGATCTCACCCCTGTCACAATCTCATGAGCTATTCTCTCTCAGTGAAAACTTACTTGCTCAGTGCTGCTTCTGAGCTATGAAAGCTGCACAGCACTGCTGCGATTACGAGTGGCAGGAGCACAGAACGGAAGTGTGTTGCAGACATCAAAGCAACAGTGACCTCTGGTGCTTCTCTCAAAGGGAGACGTGTTATAATCCAACACACTGTTTCTTTCTCATCCTTTGCTACCATCTTTGCTTCTTCTGAGCCCTTTGTAATCTCCAGATGTGTCCCACTTATATTCCTGTGAGGACACGGGTGAAAAGTGACCCCCCCAAAATAGGACCATACTGCCTGCAATATTACTCAAATATCTGGACCGAATCTTTAATACCTGCAATGTCTATATGAGCCTCCTTCAGTTTAAATGCATGTTTATGTAGCTAAAATCCATGGCTTCAATGGGAGCACCTCTTCCTTTCTCCAAACCAAACAGCATTG